GGCAAGAAAGGTTCCATGTAGCACTCGGAGCAGAGAGTAAGAAATAATGTGAAATAACAGGGAACAACCCTCTATGTTCTCACAGGTCATTTCAATGCCATAGGCAGAAAAATAATGGAACAGTGATCACCAAGAAACACCTACATTTGTGTTATGGGGAAATGATCTAAAAATCTTGTGATCTTTTCTTTATCCAAGATAGAACTTCCAGAAACAGAAGAAATTGTTAGAAGTGTTTCAAACAAATGTAAATTTTCCCATTGAGATGAGCTGTTGCTGGAACATTTCGTCCTGCAGGATGCAGAGGAGGAGGAGGAGTGGGTTGGAAATGAGTCTGGCTGCCTTACTTTCTTAGAGCCAAGGAGAGATTCTTTTTGTATGTTGGCTTTGTGTTCTTCATCAGGACTCTTCATCTCTTTGAAAGTAGCTTGTCAAATTGAATGAGCTTCTGACATCCTTTAATTGACTGGGAGGTTGGATATTCTGTATTTTTAGTAGTCTTCCCCAAAAAAGACACTAATGATGTCACTGAGAAGATGAAGATTTTGTGACATGAGCACTTCTGTTCTATTGCCACTGTTAATTTTGGCAGAGATTTTACAAGTCATTACTAGTTGTAGCTAAACTTTTAAAGATATAAACCGTTTCTCCTTTAGTAGTACTATAGACATATAATAATGAATCTTTCCTTTTCTCACCTTCAGAATGAATAGCAAAGAACTTTAAATCAGAGACAGTGGAGATGCTGACTCCATCACAGCTCATTCTCCAGCTTTGAGGAATATTAGCTTTGGCTTGCATTTGGAGTTTGATTTTTATATTCCATTTATTCCTTTTGATTAGCCTACCTTTCAGTAACAAAAAAATTAGCTTCTCGTCCTCCCCACCTCTCACCTCTGTCCCTCAGCTCAAGATCATGGGATAATTAAGTCTCTCTGAGGACAGAGACTGAGTAACATCTTTTGTTGTGTGTGTTTATCTTGGAGGTCTCAGCTTGCTCACTATCCTACCTAATCAGGCTCCACAAAGGATGGTGTGCTCAGGGAAGGATGGCTATAATCTTGTAGGACTCCATCCAACTTGGAGCTCCAAGGCCTGTTATCAGCTCAAGGCTTGGAGGATGTTCCTGTTTGAGCTGGCAGCCCCTGGCTCTGCTGCTGCCTGTGGAGATGAGGTGACAGCAGAGGTGTGTTACCTGTGGGTTGTGCTTCCATGCTCTCTGGAGGCTGGGGAAGGACTGGACAGTGCCAAGATCTCTGCCATGAGGCAGCTGAAAACATAAATTCAGCAGCATCTTCATTGCCCTAACAAGGATGGTCAAATAGTTCATATTGCTGAAAATCCAATTAGTGTGAAGTGCTGAGCAGTTTGAGAGGGATTCAGCCTGATAAGCATAGAGTACAATAAGGAGAGACTAAAAAATAAAGTTGGCTGCCTTTAACCAGCTCTAGAAAAAATGCATGGTGGAAAAAGTACATAAACAGCTTACTCTACTCTCTCTGTGGATCCATTAAATACATACCATAGAGAGTCTTGAAATAAACGTAACCCTCAAAAAATAGGAAAATTAGGTGAAGAGCTTCCCTCTAGGAGATATTGAGGGACCAAAAGCTTATAAATACATAAAAAAGATTTAAAATGACCACAGCTATGTCATTCTTCAGAATCTCTTGTCTCCTGGCAGCCAATATTAATTAGCAAAGATGAAGGAAACAATTCCTTGTAGAGTATACATAGCTAAACCAGAGTGAGCTGGGAGTTTGGTCACTGAGTTAAAGTGCTGAGGCTGTGGGGAAGATTTCAGATCCCTTTGAGCTGCTAAGTTTGACCAGTCAAAGGAGTACAAATTGGGAAAGGAAGGTGGGAGCAAAACATGTTCAAACCATGTTTCAGGAGGAGATGCCTAATTTCTAATTAAAGAAGAATCTGCGTGGCTCAGTGTAGGAAATGCTCATGTCAACTGGCTTTCTTGTGTGGGGAATTTCTTTTCTTTCTGATGCTGTGGTTGGACAGGTACTTGGACAAGCAGTGGCAGCATCCCACAATGCTCCCACACAAGCATTTGTGTCCAGTTCATGGCAAACCAAGCTGGGTTGCTGATCCAGCTGGAAACAACATTTCCCAGAAACAAAAGGAAGTGTTTTGGTTTCATCCAGCTATAAAAATTCCTTGATCTAGTTCTCTGTGGTGAGCAGAAGCACTTGAGCTGGCACACTGCTGTGGGCCACAAGTAGCCAGAGAAGAGAATGTGTTGGCAGTTGTGATGGCAGCGGAGGTACATCAAAGTGCAGCCTACAATGGCTTGCAGTGGTAGGAGTGTGATGGTGACATTTCAGTGGTAGGAGTGTGTTGGTGACATTTTGACCACTTGAAACATTTGTTGTGTCATCCTTAATGAGGACTGTAAGAACAGATTTCTGGTGTAAAACAGTTAATACCAATGTACTGATGAAGCACATTTAAGAAGGGTGAGAAGGCAATTCACTTAAGTGTGCTTCTGATTTGAACTGCAAGCCCTGTTATCAGGGTTGTGCTTCATATTGAGAAATGGAATTGACTTGTAATGGAGAGCAGGAGAAAGTAGGAGCAGATAGATGAAGGCATTTTGGGCTAACAGCACCTTTCCATCCCTGCCCTATACTTAAAAATAAAACTTAGTCAATGGAGCAGGTCTCCATTTGAAAAATTATTGTGCAAATGGTTAAAATTAATTTTTTTTGGTGGTGGAGAGGTTTCACAGTGCCTGTATTTTAGAACTGATTGCATTCCATGCTGTCAGAAAGTGCCTGAATGGTTGCAGTGCCCAAATACTCCTTTCAGTAGCTGGTAGAGTTTATGAATGTGAATAACTACAGTTCAGCATGATTTTGAAAGTGCTGTGCTTCTGTGATTTCATTTGCTTTCCCTTTATCCTTGGATTCAATTGGTCTGTTAACTGAAATCTAATGTCATTCTGTCTAGTCTCTCCTTATTTTAGTTTGTATTTAGCTGACTTAAAATTGCAGTGAAACATTTGAAGAGTTGAAGTACTAAGCAAAATATAATGAACTGATCTCTAATAATTCTCCCATCTTTGGTATTTTTATTGGATTTTGATTTTTTTTTTTCTTTGAGGGAAATAAAACCCCGCAATTTCTTCTATGGCTCTTCTTAATAGAAGTAACTATACCTGCGTTGAACTTTTCAGCTGATTCTCAATACTAGCCTCTTACTAGTGGAAACATTCATCCTAAACATGAATCTGAAAGTCTTTGCACTGGTTATGAATGATTTCAGTATTTTCAATCTGTAAAGGAGCAACATCTGACCACCAGTCAGCCTTTTTTGTGACCTCTATTCTGGATTTCCAGATTTACTTTAAACTCCACCAGGTTTAAAAGGGACACAGCAATGTTTGATTGTGCTGCTCTAGATACTGCTGCGTTCACATGCTTGCCCTCAAACTTGGCTTCAGTATTTCATGAGCCACACTTTGCTTTGATTGCTCACATTGAACAGGGTGTGTGCCACCTTTACCAGTGAGTGTATGAACTTGAGGGTTTTTTAATATTTGACCTGGTGTGATGTCAGAACAAAATGTAAATATTTCAAGTTGTACGCTTTCCTGAAAGATAGGACACATTTTTACATGAAGTAAAACCAGATCAGTTGAATTTCCAGCTATCTGTGTAGCATTATTTGTGGAGGAAGAGCATTTCTAAGCATTCTATCTTACAGCAAAAAAAAAGCAGATATAAGAACAAGGCCAAAAGTTGGGCAGAAGTTGTGTTTGTGTGCCAAGCTGTCAGGCTGAGGGAGGTTGCTGTGTAGTAGACTGCTGTGAAGGTAAAATAGTGCATGGTTAGCATATGAAAATCATATTTGAGGATGTAATTAAAGGCAACAGGTTTAAAAGATAGTCTAACATCACCATTACTAATACTAATATCTTAGTTTTAAGTGGGTTTAACTTGACTCATAGCCTCAAGTTGCTTTTTTTCTTTGCTACTACTAGTTATTTAAACAGCTAATTAGTAGTGTAGAAGAAGCAATATTTTATGGAAATGTTATTTGAAAATAATATTTTGCCTTTTTTTAAACTGTAGATTTAAAACTAGAAAATGTAAGTAAGCTTATGGTCCTGGTAGCGTCAATGTTCCTTCGCAAAGCCTCATGTTTAAATCTGGAAATACTCTGTGAAGATCTCTTTCCACTTTATATTCCATAAGTGGTCCCTGAACATGCTTGGCCAGCTTAAATCATCTAGAATGGTTAATGCAGGTCACTAGAGAGAGAAAATATGTAGAGGATGTTTAAGATAAAAGAGGTAGCTGATGAACCTAGTGCTTTTGATTTAGATGACTGCTCACAGAATAAAGATATCAAAGCTGTTGTCTGTGATACTTTTATGTATATGAAAATCTGTCCTGGTTACCAGATCTGGTGTTTGCTGACAGGTAACAATTATGTAAACTTTAAAGAAAAAGCTAAAAAAAATGCAGGGCAAGATACTAAAAGTAGCTGAGGGTTTAGGAAGTGGTATAGTGTTTGTTACCCACTGCTTCACTTCTGTTTTTAAGAGGGGATTAGTGGTGAAAAATACAGTAGAATGCTTTAATATGCCAAGTAGTGTTAAACATGCAGTACAGTATGGTGGGTAAATGCCTGTGTCATGTGCTGTTCTAATATACCTGGTTTAGGCGTCAGTAGTTTAAACGAGGGAAAGCTTTCCCTCTGCCTTGGATTAAACTCCTACATAGAAACAGTTCAGTAGCAGGAAACAGCCAAATAGTATACTCTGATCTGCACCATTAATGAGTGAAATTTTAATCAGTGAAATCTCAAATAGGAATATTCTTTCCCGAGTTGTGTAATCTGAAATGCCAGGCCATCAGCATTGGTCACAAAGTGATATATTTGCATAGGGACTAGTCCAAATATGAGTTGTGTTACTACAATACTTATGATATACGCAAGAATTTTTTCTGACCTTTTTCCTTTTTTCTAATCCAATTTTACAGGAAACCAGACATGATACACTGACAGCATTTGGAAATAAACTTTGGCATTAAGATGGAAGCAAAAGTCTCAAGATTCTAGACCAAAACAGAAATGGCTCATGAGTATTGAAAGAAGAGACTGAAGAGCCTCCAACACTTGTGTGAGCAGTGGAAAAGGAACAACTACCATGGTAACACTAATAACAGAAAAGCTGCAGAACCAGAGCTTGGATGATCTGACCTGTAAAACATACAGTATTAATCTGGTAAGGATTTACCAAAACAACATGAAATAAATGTGAAATGCCAAGTAACTCACAACTGCATAACAAATTGAAGAATGCAGATCAGCCAGAATTTAGCTATTTAAGTTAAGACTGGTTTGCAAGGGTGAGAGTTGTAATGGGAAGGAAAAGGGGATCTACGGTTTTTAGTCAATTTTTGAAGTGATGTTTTTTACTTTAATGATTTTTTTTTTAACCTTGCTACTTCATTTTAAATAGCGAAAAGCCACTTCTCTTCATGAAATAGTGTTCTAATAACTGAAAAGGATTATTCAAGCTTCTCAGGATTCCTTTTTTTTACTAGCAAAATGCACACATATTTTTATGGGTTGGAGTTTTCTTCTCCCCATACAGACCAGGTGTTTGTTAGCTTTATATCTGAAAAGAATAGCACTGGGCAGAAGGAAAACAGATCATCAAGTAAATACAGTTAAACTAAAAGTCAGGTTACTACCAGACTGTTGATGCTAGTAGAGTGGATCCTGGCTTTTTCAGTGTCTCAGATACCTGGTGCTCTGAAAAACTTTCTAATTTTTGGTGTTATTCTTGCTGGTTTAATCTGAGTACATTGTATGGTTCAAGCATGCAATTCAGGCATGAAGGAATCTATTCTCTTCACATCTCTTGTGAATGAAATAGCTACTCCAGAGGAAGTAATGCAGAACAGTCTCTTGTCAGTTCTAGCTGCCTACCTGAGAACCCTGAAACCATGTTCTGTATGGAATGCACTAATTTTGTTTTACTGACTTTGATTATAGTGGCACCCTTCTGTAGGTTAAACTTTAGTGTTCCAATGGGACACAAAATAACTTGACTAAATGCCGAGGTGTTGTTCAACACTAGTTCTGTTACGTTTTAAAAAGTAATACTGGACCTGAAGTATGTCAGTTACTTTTAAATTCTCTGCATTGTAACTTAAACAGCTGAACTGCTTCCTTATTGATTTCAAGAGCCCAAAGCAGGTGAAGCATGCCTTGAATGTGGTGGAATTTGTGCACAAGCACCTGCAATTCTCATGTATGCAGTTCCTTGTCCAGTAAGGATGTTTAAAGTAGACATTAATCAAGCAGTTTTATTTTCAAAACTGTAGCAGGTCCATTTAGAGTTCTTCCAATAATTCATTTTGTTTATTTCACCTTCCCCTTAAATATATGCTATTCTTGAAAGGCAGATTTAAGGTGTTGAAATGATGTTAACTCTCAGGAGAAGTGCATGCTTAGCTTGCATTTATTTTGTCTGGTTTGATGAAACATTTGGGCCATGCAGTTTGTAGGAGAATCTGCTGTCCCTGTGAACTGACAAAGTCATAATTTGTAACTAAACTGAGGCCTAATTGTGGGCCAGTAATGACTAAGAGCCAGTAGCATGTTCAGTGACAAATATGCAGCAGAACCTTGTAATTTCCTGTCTTTTTACCAATAGTCACTGAAGGCTTTGGACCACAGACCTCTAATAGCAGAGAAGGGCATATTACTGCTTTTACACTGTGTGGAGTCTGTACAGGAGTGTGTTGGCTGTAAGGCTGTAATGTGTTTGTAGGTTTTGGTTTTTATTCCTCTCCTTATCTGGACTTACAATAAAGCATGAAAAAGAGCAGGTAGAGCAGAAAATGGCACATGATGTCTCATCAGTTGTTTCCTCCTTGGCCTTCTGCTGTTCCTCTCCTCCTTTTATCTGTCAAGTAATTGGTTTTGTAAGTGCTTTAGTTCTTACAGAAAATAGGTTCTGAGGACAGGTTCTGTTTGTACACAATGGCACCCTGAAAAAGTGTGGAAATTGCATAGTGAGGTATGGAACTAGTGAAGCAAGTATGAATAAAAGTGTGCAAGTAGGTTGCTCCTTACTAAAAAGGATTCATGGAAGCAAATAATGGTTTCCTGACTAAAATGTGAACTTAAGATAAGTGGTTTTTTTTCCACTGGTAAAGGCAATTGCTGAATGTTACTAAGAGAATAAGACTGCTGGTGATAGTTCTGGTATCACTGCTAGCACATTTAGGCTTTTTGGCAAGAACTTCAGGTTAATGCTGTGGTTTCTTCTAATAGTAGCAGCAGTTTCGAGCAATTCTCAAGTGATCTTGGCTGCCCCTTTTGTTACTTTTGCTGGCACAAAGTTCTGTGACACCATGTGGTGAACCTCATTGTGAGCTGATTGAGGATTAAGACCAACTTTTTTTGCCTGGGTTAATGTAGTTAAACCTTATCAATTTTGTGATACCTTTGACTGTGCATCTGCACAAGTGTCTGGGCACAAGTAGATAAAATAGATGGGGAAAAGCTATGCTGTTATACAGCTCATGAATGAGGGTTATAAAAGCAAAAAGAATAGCTCTTTCAAAGCTATGTACTGTGCAGCCGAACTGGGCACAAAGACAACACATATAGGACATAGTACACTTTTTCATTTGTGTAAGCTGTGTGGTGACCAAGTACCTCTTTTATGTTGTAAAATACTGGCTGCAGCTTTTTACTGCTCTGTTAAATGACATGCTAATTTTCCAAGCTGGTGTAATTCAGCCTAGTGCATGCTCAAGTGATGTTGTACAGCCTTGTCCTGCACCTGCCTTCAGGAAAATGACTGGATGGCTTGCTGTAGAAGCAGGAAGGTTGTCCCAAGCCTTTTTCCTCAGTTTGGCTACTGTAGCTCACAAGGTAGTGTCCCTGGTTGCTCAACTCTACCTCACAAAAGAGGTGTGGAGTTCTCTAAGCACATTGTGGCTTTCATGGCTTGACAGCAGCACTAAATCAAATAGTTGGTCTCTAGTCCCTTGAACTCTCAGAACATTCATAGAGCTCAAAATTGCTCAAAATTAGATTTTTCTGTATTCTGACAAAACTTGTACCTTTTTCATATTGCTGTATAGAATTTCATGTTGGTTTGTGAAGTAATAGCATGTGAGCTGTAAGATGTCAGGGTGTGATATTAAGTAGGAAACATAAGCGCTGCCAGTCAAGGATTTGTGAAAGGAACAAGTTTTACTGTAAAACCCCTTCCAGGCATGTGGGGTCCATTATTTTAATTTTTGAAGCTTATTTATATTGAAAGATGTAGAATTAGATTCTTCCTCAGAGGAAAAGCCACTGGTCAGACTACTTGACTTAATCACCTCTTTGCATCCTGAGAAAAGGTCAGAGTGTTCCTCCTCACTATTTCATATCCAGTCATATTTGGTAGAGAAACAGAGGTCTGGCATGGCCCATTTAAACTGAGTCACATCTGTATGGTGGTGGTTATATTAGTATTTGAATGATAAACAATGGCATCCCTGTGGTTTGGAAAGGATGCTGATAAATTGGAGGAACTCAAATATACTTGGAAACTGGAAAAAATGCCTTGAAATTAAAGCCATTAATTTTAAAAGTATGAAGATGAAGTTGTCATTCTGAGTATAATGAGGAGGGATAGCACAGGCTGTGAAGTCCTTAATGCAGTACATTGGAGTGTAGAAGAATAGCCAGAGTTATTTTTGTTGCAGTTGGCTTCTGCTAGCAAAGAACACTTAAAATTAGTGATGTAAATTATAATGAGTTGTCAGCCTCACTTGCAGAGCTCTTCCACTCAGTCAGTTCAGACTAGGTGTCTTTTCAAGTGAGTATTTTAATGAAAGAACAGCTGTTAAGATTCAGAAAACCAACTGAAACTTGCAGCACTGTCCTAAATGTTTCCTTTCCTTTTGAACATGATATATCCAGCTGCACGAAAGAGATTATATTTGTGAACAAGCATTTCCAAGTAGATCCACTTCTTGGCATGAAGCAAACAATTCTAACCTCAGGTGAAACTTGTAGTTTCATTGTTTTACGTGTCTAGCTTAAAATATGCCATTATTTCCCTGATAAATTCTCCAGAGGCATGAGATCTTCGTGGCTGTTTTAACATCTATTCAAAAAGCAGTAGTTGCAAAATGGATGTGTTTCCTCTTCAGGAAAGTGACCTTTGAATAATTTGGCCTTATTCTAAGATGATTTCCTTCACACATAGGGTAGCAGATTTCCCTGTTAAGGTTCTTAGCAATTGCAAGCTCTTTTCAGGTGTAATCACAAAATAAAGTATTAATTGAGGAAGCTTCATGTAGCTCCTAGCACAAAGGGAATGAGTGTGGAGTGGTAGAGTGTGGCCAACCCAGGAGAGCTGATAAACTGGTTCAGTGCCCTGTTACAGTAATATCGAGTGGGACTTGTCCCATGTGCTATACAGATAAAAAATCCTCCCTCCTATAAAGAATTTGCGGCCTGACAGGGTCTTCTCAAGTTTGGGCTACCAGATGTGGTTAAAATACACCAGTAGACACTGTTTCCAAGTATTTTTGTTTCAGTTATAGAAAGCCAAGCATATATTGTAAAGGACATTTGTTACTTACTGTCCTCTTAGTCACTCAACCCTTATTTCAGTGCCTTGAGCTTTTGATGGAAATAGTGCAGCTTACTCTCCCTTTCAGCATGTGATGTCACATGTCATGTTCTTACAGTTTTGGTCTGAATCTCCAAAGAATTAGCAAAGAATTTTTTTGTGACTTAGCAGGATTCTGTGTACAAGATCCCAAGTTGCAGAGGAGATGTCTGCTTTGTCACGGAACTGAGTACTGACTTCTCCAGCACATGGTCAGAAATAGCTGTAAGGATAGGGTTGCTCTCTGAGTTAGAGAACATTGCAGTTCTCTGAAGGACAAATAGTCTGTGTACATGATCCTGCTTGTTCCATGGTCCCCCTGAGAAAGGGATTCAGTGCTCTGCAGTTGTCAAAGATAATGTAGTTTAGTCTCTCAACTGATGGACAAGACTTTTTAAGGTGGTGGAAGTACAGTTAATCAAATAACTTGGACATTCATGAAGAGAACCTTGTAAAAGATGCATTTGCCTGAAAACTATAAAAACCAAGCAGGATTGTCCATGCAGTTCTTTTCCTTATAAGCATTGAATATCTTGTCTGAATAAATAGTTTTTTTAAACATCTCATGCCCATATTAATTCATCTTGTATTTTCATCTGGCTCAGGATAAATCAGCTGTAAGACTTTTTGGCACAATTTTGTTACAAAGACACATTTTCTGTAGCTACTGTATGATAGTTTAATAGGTTGGTATTGCCTTTTATTTGGGGAATGATGGAAAGGAATTTGTTGGAAGACCTTATCTTTAAGTCTCTAATTTGTCCATTTCCTCTTCAGGGACAACTGATATGTAACTACTGTTACCTTAGGGTGCTCCTGTGTTTCACATGAAGCGGGTACCTGATTGAAGTAAATGGGGGCAGTGGCTTTTTAAATGTGAATTCTATGGAATTGGCAAGTTGCAGATTTCAAATGGTTTGAATTGGATTAATTAACAGCAGATCCAATGGAGATTTAACTTTGAGGTTCTGCTGTTTACTCAGAGTAGCTTCTTTAAAAGGAGGTTATAAATTCATCTACAGATATTTACAAAGTAAAAATGAAATGGTTTGTCTCATTTGCAGATGCCAGTAAAAAATGAGATTAAAAATCTCATTGCTGTCCTATCCTTTAAGCTATTCTGTTATTTCCTACCTGTGAAACAATACCACCAAAAGAATATTACCACAGCTCAGTGTTTGTCTCTGTGGAGCTCAAGGATATAAAGTTGTCACTAGCACTATGTGCTGCTGTACAGAAAAAAAAAAAAGCTTTGTAGCTCAAGGATGTTTGTTTAAAAATTGACTTTGTATCTGGAAAGGAAGTGTATGTACAATGCTATCTTCTTTGGCTGTACACAGAGAACAATGTTCACATAAAGTGTGTTGCTGTTTTTTAAAGCAACCTTCCTCTCCATCCTGAGGTGGTGGTGGGGGAGTGAATAATGACCCTTGGGTTGATGGAGCTATGAGCCACTTATTTATAGCTCCTTTATAGGATGCTGTATTTGCAAGGTCTGTGCTTTGTCTGAGAAATCTAGACCATTAAGAATGCCTTTGTAGTAATAGTTTTTCGTTAAATTAGTTACGAACTTGTCTTACTGTGTAGATGCTACTGATGAGGCTAAATTGAAGGCCTTTACACACAGACCTTGTTTTAAGCATGGCTGTTATGTTGTTTTGCACCAATAAGCTGAGATTTAAAAAGCAGTCAGTCTGCTAAAGATATTTTGATGATAGGAAAGATATTTCTCAATGGCTTTTCTACTTTGAAGAAGTAAAAAAAAAATCACTGCATCGATTATAAGAAAATGTGAAATACTAATAAAGCCTGATTTGGAGAAGTGTTCATGGTGGTGAACTTCAAGACCTTGTATATTTAATTTAGATAAAGCTATTCCTGTCCCTTAGTTGAAGATAAAGTGTTTTGCCTTCTAGCCTTAAGACTGGAAATGGAAACCCAACTGCCAGATTGTAATTTCCTCTGTGCTGAAATGAGAATTGGATCAAAGCTCTTTCATTAAGGATGAATTATCACTCTTAATTTTCCAGTTTATTCGCATGGGCTAATGTTGTAAGTCTTCAAACAGTTTGATACTTAGCAATAGATCAGAAAACATTACAAATAATTTGGTGCCAGAGGCTTATAAATAAAGATCAGCTGTTCAGGAATTTCTTCAAATTATATTGGAAAACCCTATCTTTTAAAGGCATTGTTAACTGCACATATAGGAAAACTAAAAACTGCATGCAGTTTCCTTGAAGTGAATGCTGACTCTTTCCACAGTTAAAACTTTTTTTTTCTGATTGATTTCAGTACTCATCTGAGAAGCTGAACAAAAGTGGCAGCTTGTTCCCTTTCGAAATCAATGGTAAGTTCTTCAGAAACCTTAGCTGTGTTTTACTGAGGTAATTGGTATAGCAAGCAGCCTTTCTTTTGTAAATAAGGTGAGGGGGATGGAGCATGCTGCTGTAGAGCCTGCTGGTTTAAGCTGGTCTTTGAACAATACTGGGAATAGCTGGTTGTTAGTTTTGTACTTGTGATCTGCTTTGCATAGTAAAAAGCCCTTGTAACACTTTTATTTTTGTTCAATATCTGCCTTGGTGTGCAGAAGCACACTAATGCTGTTTTTCACATTAAACATCTTCAGATTCCTCAGCTAGTAGAGAAATCTTTGTACATCTTATAATATTCTTTGTCACACAGACCATCCACCATGATGCAAAACAGAAGTTGAAGTCCAATGCCCTCATAGAAGTGCTATTTGCTTTTGTTCACCCTTGGTCCTATTAGAAGAAGTTTGTCTAGCAAAAACAAGAGTTCTAGTTATTGATATGTGAACTCTGTACTGCGTTATTAAGGGGTGGAGTTGAAATTTTGCATTTTATGTTTTCTCTGAGCAAGGAGGACTTTTATTTGCTCAGTGGGATTCCTCATAACACATGAATCCTGTTTTGTGAGAAGTTTCAAATGGTGCTTTGTCTAAGTATCACTATCAACTAGGCAGGTATCCTGGTTGGGAGTCTGTTATAGACCACCCAACCAGGATGAAGAGAGGCAGAGAAAATACTCTGTAAGCAGCTGGGAGAAGCCTCACAACTGCTAGTCCTTGTTGTCGTGGGGGACTTCAATTTACCAGATGTCTGCTGGAAATACAATGCAGCAGAGAGGAAGCAGTCCAGGAGTTCCTGGACTTCATGGAAGAAAACTCCCTGATGCAGCTGATGAGTGACCTCAGCCAGGGGAAGATACTCTGCTGGTTTTAAACAGGGAAGGACTGGTGGTGATGTGGTGGTCAGAGGCTGCTTGGGATGTTTGATCCTTGGAGAAAGAAAAAGGCAGGGATTAGGAGAACTGCCACCTTGAACTTCTGGAGGGCAGACTTCAGCCTGCGTAGGAGGCTGATTGGCAGAATCCCTTGGGAGCCAGTCCTGAATGACAAAGGAGTCCAGGAAGGCTGGATGTGCTTTAAGAAGGAAATGTTAAAGGTGCAGGAGCAGGCTATCCCATGTGCTGAAAGATCAGCCAGTGGGGAAGATTACTGGCCTGATTGAACAGAGAGCTTTGGCTGGAGCTCAAGGCTGAGGAAAAAAGCCAGGAGAGTTGACCTTTGGAGGAGAAGGGAACTCAGGAGGACTATAAGGATGTCAGGTTATGCAGGGGGACAATTGGAAGGGCCAGAGTTCAACAAGAAGCTAATCTGGCTACTGCCATAAAACAATAAAAAATGTTTCTATAAATGCATCAGCAACAAAAGGAGGGCTAAGGAGAATCTTCATCCTTTTACTGGATGCAGGGAGAATATAGGGACAAAGGATGGTGAAAATCTGAGGTGCTTAATGCCCTCTTTGCCACAGTCTTTAACAGTAAGACCAGTTGTTCTCTGGGTACTCAGCCCCTTGAGGTGGAAGACAGGGATGGGGAGCAGAATGAAGCCCCCATAATCCAAGGGGAAATGGCCAGATATCTCCTCCATCACTTAGACCCACACAGGTCTGTGGGGCTGGATGGGATCCACCCAAGAGAACTGAGGGAGTCATGGATGGGCTCACCGAGCCACTCTGTCCTTTACCACCAGTCCTGGCTCCCTGGGGAGGTCTCAGGTGACTGGAGGTCACCAAATGTGACACTCATCTACCAGAAGGGCCTGAAGGAGGGTCTGGGAACTACAGGCCCCTCAGTCTGGGCATTATGAAAGGCAGGTCCTGCTTGACCAACCCGATCTTCTCTAACAAGGTGATCTGTCTTGTGTGTGAGGGAAAGGCTTCTCCCAAATAACAGGTGACAGGACAAGAGGAAATGGCCTCAAATTGTACCAGAGGAGGCCTAGGTTGGATGTTAGGAAACATTTCTTCACTGAAAGGGTTGTCAAGTATGGAAACTGGCTGCCCAGGGCAGTGGTGGAGTCACCATCCCTGCAGGTATTTAAAATACATGTAGATGTGGCACCCAGGACATGATTTAGTGGTGGACTTGGCAGATTTAAGTTAATGGTGTGTCTCTGATCTTAGAGCTGTTTTCCAGACTAAATTATTAGGTACCTCTGCCATGTAAACAATGGAAACACAGATTCTTGACTTTTTTTTTTTTTTACATTAAACTTTATTTAAAGTCTCCCAGTCTGGAAGAAAACTTTCTAAGGATTTTTAAAAAATCAGGTGAGTCCCAGCTAGGAAACTGTCCTACAGTAGATGCTAGGAGTTTTATGCATTAGCTGGACCCCATTGTGTTGGCTCTTTTACTTGCATTGAATTATGGATGGTCCCTGCCTTGAAGAGCTTGCATGCTTAAGGCAAAGCACAGTATGTGGTTGTACCCATCTGAAAGAATGGAGGAGGAAGGACAGAGGAATTCTAATAAAACATGTTTGAATAGGCCAGCTGTCTGCACAGTTAAATGATTTTGAGACAATAGGGTGTTCTTTAAATAAGATCCAAATAAACAGGATAATCCATGACATACTTTGGGCATGGAACATGTACAACTATTCGGGTTTGCAAGTTTTAAAGCTACTCAGCAAGTCTTTTAGCTGTTTATTACTATAAAACTTAGTTTAGAAAATCAACTTTAAGAATATATTAGTATTCAATGTTTAGGCTCTATCTAGGTTCTTAAAATAGGTGTATGGGAATAAATGGGTATTTTAAATGTTCTTTCTTGAAAGCCAGGATAAGTGAAACTTATTGGGCTAATTGGTTTAAATTAGCAAATTTTCTAACCAAGCATGAAGCACTGTTAGCTGGCCAACAGTTTTGCTGCTTTTCAATTTGCAAATCCAAAGTCTGCTGTAGTTCTTCTTACACTTCATTGTATAATGTGGAGGAACAGCTGTAAAATGTGCAGAATGTTCTCAAAGAAATGCTTCACAAAAGAGTGAGAGGCTGCTCTGGCAGACTGCTTTTAACCCAGCGTTGCCACTTCAGATGAGAAGTTGTGCACTATGTCTGCATTCACAGTAAGACTTGCAGGAGGCTCTTAAGGGATACTTTATTTTATGCATTAAATTAAGATTTTGAGTTTTTTCTTATAGTCAGAGTGCAAGGGGGGAAGCAACAGTCTTCAGTCTGATTTAACTTTATATTGTTTCTAATTTCAAGTAAAGCTTTTCAGAGCAGAGAATGTGAACACCCTTTGGAAGTTTTCTTTAATAAGGTGTTTTTAATAGAAAAGCATAAGAGCTAAATGAATAACAGCAGTCTGAAGTGATTATCCTGCTCTTGTGTAAAAAAAAAAAAAGTTCCCTGATGGCTTCTCGTGTTGATAATCTGTTTTGGTTGTACCTGAGGTTTTCACAATTCTGTGATTTAATTATGGTGTGTGCTAGGAAACTGTCCTGTTGCTCACAAAAAAAAAAGTAGTTATTCAGTGTAAAGGAAAAAATATTAACAAGGTACATATATATTGGGCTGCCTGGATTGGTTCCTGATTAAATACTTTGGTCTTTTTGGTTTTGAATTTCCTACTTTTTTTTTAGTGTGACATTTTGATTAGGAACTGGGTATTTATGACTCATCCTTCTAAAGATGATTTTGATGGCTTTACATTAAATTGGGTTTAACACAAATTGTTCTTTTCTCCTTTCATCTTTCACCTATATATATTTTTTTTGCTTTCAGAAGACAGTCCTTGGAAAGCTTTAAATGGGGGTTACCCAATCCAGCCTGACACAACCAGGAATTCAGCTTACCCTTTCCCAGCGTGCTCGTTCAGCACCGGCGCTGCCAGCAATGGCAGCCTGCCGTGGCAGCAGGAGCCCTCCAACACGTCCATGGTGTCGGGATGGATAAGCGAGTTAAACCTGAACGAGAACTCGGGCCAGCCCCTGGCACCGCCCACCAAGCGCCACTGCAGGTCCCTGTCGGAGCCGGACGAGCTGGCTCGCTGCCGCTCTCCCTGGAAGCCCGGCAGCTCCAAGGTTTGGACTCCTGTGTCAAAGAGACGCTGTAACAGCGGCGGCAGCGCTACCTTGCAGCGCTGCAACAGCCACGGAAGTGCCACCTTGCAGAGAAGCACAAGCATCAGCCTGCCACAAAACATCCTGTCCCTAAACAACGTCTTCACCATCACCAGCTTCAACACCTCTCCAGTACCCAGACCTTCCTCTGCCAGCAGCGGGTTTGTGGACAGCAGCGAGGGCAGCACGAGCTCCAGCACCCGCTGGAATTCCGGAGGCCCTTGTGACTTTAACCCAAGGCGCCGCCTGTCCCTGTCCCAGGAGCACATCACCGAGACCGGGAATCTCTTGCCTTCAGCCAGCAGCACTCCCACCTCCACACCCGAGCTCAGCCGGCGGCAGGGCCTGCTGAGGTGCCGCTCGCAGCCCTGCGTCCTGAACGAAAAGAAAAGCCGGCTGAAGCGCAGACGGGAGGAGGATGTACGATGGAACAGGCCATCGTTAGACTTTTTTAAAATGACGCGGGTGAGATTTTACTTTCCTCAGTGTGGGAAGGGAGCTCTTGCAGAAAGGTTGTTTCTAGATCAGCAGCACTAGTTTGTAGTTGTGCAGGTTTGCTTGTGCCCTGTCTGTCACCTTTGGCAGGAGAGCAAAGGTTGCTTGCGCTATGCCCTAAAGCAACTTAGATTTTGCCAGTGAAACTCAGTTCTTGAAGTCTATTCTATTGATATAGAATGCTGAGAGTTCTGACAAGATGCTTAAAAGCAAAAGCCACAGAAAAAATGGCTTGCTTTTTGAAAAGCAAGGAAGCCATGGAGAATAGAGTAGACATGGTAGCAAAAAGTTGATACCACTGCGTTCCCCAATGCAATGATTTCTGAGTAATCTTACTGCAAATCTGTTTGATTAGGCCTTCCCTTGGTTTGAGTAATTCTATGAAGCTGTATAAATGGATTAACTAAAGAAGCTGCAAATAAGCAGTTGGAAAGATAGTATTCTAATATGGCAACTACAGGTGTTCTAGCTCTATGAAAGAGGTGTTTTACTCCAGAATTTCATTTAGTAGTCTGCTTCCCTCCTCATGAGAGTAGAGGTGCTGATTCAAGAACTAGAAAACTTCAGTTGATTCCTATAGTTTGTATGTAATATAAATGCATGTAACAGAACTCTTTTTTTTTTTTTGGAGTTTCTTGGTCAACAGAGTTGAGTGCTACAGTTCAAAATGTAAAACTGAATCTAACATTATGGCCAGAGAACACCTTGTGCTTGTGCATATAACCCTGCTGTCTTCAGTAGATACCAGACTTGGAAGGCTTGTATGGTAGTTCTGTAGCCTAGTGATGAGGAGGCAGTTTGCAAAAGTAGCAGTAAAATTGTAAGGAAGGGACATAGTTGTGCACCAGTGTCCCTCTATGTGATGCACTGTGCAAAAGAAAAGCTGAATAGGATGCTGTGTTGGCTAAAACATGCAGTTTGTGGTACCCCAGTATTAGTAGGCTTTACATCAAAATACCAGTAAGATAGATGCTGGAACTGTCTGATGCTAAGTAATTTATATCCACTTGGTTAAGTCTTTATGATGACAACAGTCCTTCCCTTGTAATTTTGTGAAATTACTTCCTTATATCTTAAAGGATTTTCCTCTTTAAAAATACAGTATTTTTGGTGAAGCTGTAGGGGTAAAGCAATCTGTTTAGTTACTGATAAAGCTGGTAACCAGTTCTGTTCTAGGTATGACTTAGTGTTCTGAGTTTTGGCTAAGATGCAATTTTACTAGTTAGCTAATCAGATCTTACCTGTTTCTTAGTGTTAATCACTGTTAGGATTAGTTTGCTAATCTAGACCAGAAGTATTATTGGATTTGCCTTTCAGCTGCCTGTGTGGTCTACTGCATGTTTCTTTATGTAAAATTTAAAACCTGCCCCTTTTTTTGGCTAGGCTTGATGCTTGCATTCTTCAAGCTCTGGAGGTGAGATGCAATATTTCAGGCTACTGAATAGCTTCATTTGCTCAGATTTTATGCCTATTAAATAATCCATGCAGCAGTATGTATGGAGGAAAGCTGTCATAGTCCATGTCTATAGGAAGGTTTTTGGCTGTTAAGAGTTGCTGCAGAATTGTATATGACACTAATATTTAGCCAGTCTTGACTACTTTTTCCTGTAAGACTATTTTGAAGTGATGAATTCTTGATAAAATGAATAGTTTATTCTACAGTGTCAAGACCTGATGTTTTCTTTCCAGCTATTTCAGTAGAATCTTCCTATTAAGATACTACTGTGTTCTTAATCAAAGGTACAAACTATGGCTTGGAAATGCATCAATTTCCAAACATGCTAAACTTTAATGAAAGCATCTGTTAAAAAATGAGGCAAGTACTGGAAACATTTGAAGAAAAAATTAAGTTTCCAAGAAGTATCAGATTTTTTTAGAATGTCAGCTTGCTTACCCGTTTTATTGTTAAAAGTCTTCATATCTTATCTTCTCTGCATGCCCCAAATCCTGGCAGAAGTAAATGCTTTGAAACTTACATTGTGGTCTTAAGTGAAAATACTGCTGTGAAAATATCATGAGCTAATACTACAGAAGGCTTGTTTTGAAGTGTCATACAAGGTGTTCTTTATCTGCATAGAGCTCAGTGAAGATCAGGGCTACCATTAGGGAAAGTTCAGTAAGACCTTCCTTTCATGTATCTTGATGGCTCCTTATTATTTCCAAAAATACATTTTCTGTGATTTCAAATTCACTTCCAAGTCAGTTTATGAAAACAAGCACTTTTAAGGATTTTTGTTTTAAGCTTTACTGCAAATATTTTGATGTTATCAAATATTTCTAAAAAAAACTCAAACTTACTGAGTAGCTGCTCAAAACCAGGTCAGCAGTTAGATTATAGTGCTTGCGGAGAACTTAAGAGGGGTCAAATAAATATGGTTTATGATAGACCTGAAGGTAGTATATTAGAGCCCACAACTGCTTGAAATTGAAAGTTTTGGGGCTGCAGACATTTCTGCCAATGCTCTGGCGTCCTGAGAGGTTTGCACAAACACCTGCTAAAGATGCAGAAGGGCTTCTCAACAAAGAATTCTCTCAAACCAGTATTTATCAGCACTAAATTTATTAACTTTAGTTTGAAGCAAGGGCTCTTATATCTAAATGAAGATCTTGAGTAGTTGTGGCCTGGTGAAGCTTTGGAGGCAGAAGGGGATGAAAACTGTTTTGGTTTGATGTGTTTTATTTTCATTTATGTTTTGGTGTTTTTTGTTTTGGGCTTTTTTTTTTCATTACTGAACTGGTTTTTTGGTAGTTGAGTTCTGCAAATATCCTTGTTGGGTGCTGCTTCAGTCCCTATTAATTTGATAAATATTAGTGCTAGAAAATCAAAAGTCTAATTCTGAAAGCAAAGTTTCCAGTGTCATTGGTTTTTAAGTTCAGAAATCATTGTTGAGAAAATTCAATTATTAATTTATGCCAGTTCCTGGCTTCTTCCACTGTTACATCTTTATTCTGATTTCCGCTTTTATTTAGAAAAGGTAAAAAATTGGGCAGCTCTGAATACCATAAACTGTTTATTTCTATGTATTTTGACTTTGCTTATTCTTCCACAGACCTTCACACTTCACTGCACTCCCTCTCTGGTTTAGGTTTTCATGCCCTCTTGGGAAGGAATATGCCATATCTTCAATTCTCATGGAAAATGCTACATTAATACCCAGTAAAGTGAGTGATTCATGTATCTAGGAGATTGAAGTGTTCAGGCAGATTGCTGCACACGCCTGCTCAGCTCTCACACAGTGCTAAATTCAGGAAGGATCTTTTTCTGGACTAGAAGCTGAAAATTCAAACTTGTGAAGCATCAGACCTTCCTAGGACATGAAGACAGCTGTAAAAACAAGTAGAAAAGACTGTAGGAAAAGATAACAAAAGCAATAGCTGTTTCCAGCCCCTGAAGGCTCAAAATTACTTTCTCCATTCAGTTTTGTGTGCAAGGAGAGCTGTAGGAGTTGCAGCACAGCAGAACTGTGCTGTCTGTGCCCGCTGAGTGTGGGTTCACAGGCACCCAAGTGAGAAGCTGGCTGCAGTGAGCAGTGCCAGCTTCCCCCATGGCAGCAGCATCCCGTCACCCTGTGCTGTGGGGTGGCCAGGAGCCTCTCTGGGCTTGTGCTCTCTGCAGCAAATCTGCTCTGTCTCAGAGGCTGCCACAGAATGAGTCAAGGTGGTGTTTAGACTGCTAACTGCAGTATGAGGAGAGAAATGTTTCTTTTCTGAAGTGGAAACTGCTGAGTTTTTTCCAGTGTTCTGCTTCATGAGTTATGACAGTTGATCCTGAGGTGCGACAAGGAAAGAGCAGCCAAGAGGTTGCACATGTTTTTTGGTGTGTAAGCAAGTTTTACTTTGACAGTGAGATTTAATTCTGTTTTAGATCAAACAACACACTGTAGTTTCAAGTCTTTCTGGTATTCAACATTCTTGTGTTACTCCTCCCCCAGTGTGGTGGCATGAGGTTTCAGAAAGTAATAATCCTGTAGCATACTTTAAAATCCCAAACTATTTGTGTCTTCTGTGAAGTGGTGCTTGGTCTGTTTAAATAGTTAATACCAAATACCTGGCTTTATCCACATAAATAATAGTTTCAACTATTGAATCCTGGTGCATCTTGTGCATTAAATAGTTAGACTGATAAGACAATACAATGGAGAGTTTTAAGGGTCTGAACTCAGGGTCTGAAGCTGTAATTTCCTAGTACAAGGTACTTCTTTTCTTAGAAGTGCTTGAAAGTCATCTGGATTTTATACTACTAGATTTTCTTGGTAGTGAGAGAGATCCTAAGTGCCACACCAGGTCAGGTCAAAGCTGCAGCTGGCACCCTGCCCAGACAGAACAGCTGCTTTGAGGGATGCAGGAACAATGAATGTGCAATGTGATACTTCCTCCAGCATGGCTGGCTCCTGCCAGTGTGCATCCTGGGGGGTTTCAGAGTCTGCATCAGTGGTTCAAACTCTGACAACTACTGATAGAGCTATTGATAATCAAAAATTTAAATCCCTCAGATTGGACTTCCATGGTGTTATGGAGCAGTTTAATTTTTGTAGACATTGCTTCATCACATGCAACGCCTGAATGCTTGATTTAGTATTTCTTGAAGTTTCAGCTTGCCAAAAGGCAAAACACTTGGAAAACTCTGATAACTTAAAGTAAATGGAGCTAAAATTGCTTTATGACTACTGCCTTTATGCTGCAGATAGCAGTGGTGTAACGGCTCTATATAGGAATGAGGGCTTCTCACAGGGTGAGTGTGAACAAATGAGTCAAATAGGTCAACTTTGACCAAAACAGCAAAATTACTATGACTTACACACGAGAACAAGCAGCAGGACTACTTGGTAGTGATTTCAAACAACAGCAGTTGGTTGAAACAGCAGTTTAAAATCATGTACAAAGCAGAGGTGAATGTTGGTGGTGGATGTGTCTCCCTGAAGGGTGGGAGGAGAAGGCAGTACTTAATAAAGGGCAGAGCACATCAGCAGTGTTGCAACTGAACTTGGGTCAGGTGGCTCCTGCTTTTATTACAGAGACTTTCCTGGTAACTCCTGACCACTGTTGTGCAACCTCTACATCCACTTACTTGTTTCACTTTTGTGTGGACCAATTTGTAAAAGCCATTGTGAATAGATACAAGGGTGAGCTGTAATACAAATTATTTTATTTAGGTACATATGCCAGGGTAACAAAAATGTCTTTGCAGTCAGAGCTACCAGGCAATGGCTGGGTTTTGCTCTTCGAGGTCACTGTAATGGTTAGTATGGGGACAGATTTATGTATTAGCTATACTGTGACCTTACTAAGTTTAAGCAAAATAAATGTGGAACCATTCTTCTTGATTCTTTGAATTCTTGTTGTGATTAGTGTAGTGAAGGAGCCGCTCCCTGTTGTTAAGCTCTCTCCCAGGTTACTGGTTTAGCATGTATAAGATAAAGAAGTGATATCAAGTCCCTCACTAAGCTCACAGGGTGCCTGCCCTGTGAGTCAGGGCTGCACTGGCTGAAGTAGGTTAAGTGCTGGCTCATGAAGTTCATTCACATTGTGTTCTGGAAATAGTAAACATGTTGCTTTAAATAGCTTGAGATGCTTATGTAAAGCTTGTCCCTCATGGCCTCCTGTCTAAATGGGAGCAAACAGGTTATT